TTTTTGTTGAAATAATTTATACAGAACTTTTTACAAAGATATAAATCTTCTGAATCCCACATTAGTTGGAAATCTCCTGATCTAAAGATGCATGTTTAGTTGAAATGGCTAATCAATCCTGATATTCTAGCTATAATTCAGTTCTTTGTGGGAATTAGAAACAAGTTTGCCTGCCAAATTTCTACAAAACCAAAAATGCAACTTAGAAGCAAATCGAAACCCCCCAGTCTCTACCAATCCCAAAACTTCACCTATTCCTCTTAACACACTTATAGATACTATAAAAGATCGGAATATTGAAGCAGAATTGTCCTGTATTTTAGAAAAGGAAGGTAATTTCTAAGTAGAAATTACCCTGTAACTCTTAGAAAAAAACCCACACAACTTAACTTCTTTTTCAGTCCCTTTAAGTTATAAATCTTATATGTCTGAAGTGTAAACACAGCCCACAACTGCCAAAGTAAAGGAAAAAAAGAAGGAAGCAGGTCTTTTTTTGTTTTAATGCTTATTTATTTTTGAGAGAGACAGCACACAAGTGGGGGAGGTGTAGAGAGAGGGAGACACAGAATCCGTAGCACGCTCCAGGCTTTGAGTTGTCCATACAGAGCCCAACGCGGAACTCAAACTCATGAACTGCGAGATCATGATCAATCAACTGAGCCACCCAGGTGCCCCTGGAAGCAGGTCTTTTGAAAAATAGAAATTGCAAAAAGGGCTCTCTTGCCCTGTTATCTCTTCAAATATTACTAACTATAAGGTTTCTGTATCTGTCAGTATATGTATCTATTTTGTATACATGGCTTTTTCTACCTCTAGTTGGTATTGCTAAAATGAATTTGTAAAAGGGCTTTCTACTTAATTTGCTTAAAGAAAATGAAGCACATAATTTTGAATTCCCTAAAAATTCTCAAAAATAAAGAAGAAACTCAATCCAAATGAATTTCAACTTCATGTGATCTGGGAAAATATCTGGCATTAAAACTAAAGATTTTTGGTTTAATTAAAAAAGACATGTCTTTAGAGTTATCTGCATTAAAATAATACTTTTATTCTGCCTGGATTTACCAAAAACCAAATAAGTTCATGTAATCTCTACTGCAAAACTTGTCAACCCAAAATAATATAAACTGAGAATAATGTCGGACTTTGCAGACAAAGCTGTTTTTGTGGGCAACATACACATATTGGTTAAGAACAAGTAAATTAAGTAGATATAGATATAAGATAAAAAGGTTTTAGGTAAACTTTTTAAATATTGTCCCCAAATCTTTTTGGTAATCTGAAACCTAAAAGTTTTGCTAAGTGAGAAGGTAAATTCAAGGAATATCTAATAAATCATTCCCAAATATGATAAAGTAATGAAACATTAATTACCGAACACAGGTGTATCTACTTTTGGCTTCCTTATTACAGAGAAACTAAAGATAAATTTGGGTCTGATACTAAACATTTTCTTATGTTTTACTGAAAGATTATACTTTGAAGAATCGCCATTTCTTGAAATTATGAATTATGTTTCATGTCAATTTAATTCTTAGATCACCTAGATGAAACTTTAAGAATAGAGGAAATTTTCCTGCTCGACAGAAGCAATAGAAATTCTGGGCATCACAATGAAAAGATGACTGAGGTTTGTCTAAGATCTCAAAATCTTTACATCACCTTAGGAATCGGTGTACTACTACTACTACTAGAGTTAATATTTATTGACAATTTGACTATATATTAGATAAACATATATCAGATTTGTTTTAGGTATTTTTATATTCATCAAACCATCTCTAAACAACTGTATTATGATTATGCCTAGGGAAACTGATAGAGAAGATAAACTTGTCCAAGGTCATAAAGCAATTAAGCCTTAGAAACAAGATTTGATGTTAGAATCTACACCTATAAAACCACTATAATACACCACTTTTCAGTTATTAAGCTGAACTTCTGTCATTGCAGAAGAGTTTTATAAATTGAGTTTGTAAAATACTGTTTTTTTGGCCATACCTAACAGAATTACATGTTCCAAGGAATAATTTTATTTAGTTCTTAGCTCACTACTCCTGTCATAAATCCTAATAATTTCAAAATCCACTTATATATTTCTTTTAATAGCAAAATTTTTCAATATCTTTAATTCACATCTTTCCATGACCTTGCTGTCACTAAACTACCATGTCCACATCCTTGAACTTATAGTCACTAAATACTGTATTCTCTCTACTATTGTCAACTGCAGTCACCTTATTCTCTTATTTCAACCTCCCAAATTTCTACTTCCTACTCTTGTAAGTAACTCCAACATATCTTTAACCATACTGCAATCTGTAATTTATTATACCACTTCTCTATTGTGCCTCAACCTTCATTTTCTCACTTTGCTCTGTACCCAGATCTCTTTCTATGCCTCTTCTTTATAATCATTCCCTTGGATAGATCAACACCTTTTCATTTCTTCCACTTTGTTGTATTAACCTAGGGAAATTCCAATTCTAATTAAATTCAATTCTGTCTACTTAGTGATAGCACCAATGTCAGAATAGTTGGAGATTAAATACAAAACCATTTGACTAGTCTCACTTAAATTAACAACAGACTTCAAATGACCATTTTATGTACCTTTTAGCTAGCCTTCTAAGAGTCTATTTACTCTGCCACTCAAGTATCTATTTTACACCTTCCTTTTTTCCCCTCGATCCAATACTCTTTTCCTCTTAATGACATTGCTTCCTTCCTATTTCACTGAAAAAAACCAGAACACAATTTCTACATGCTCCTACCAAACTATAACTATTTAGACTTACAGTCTATTCTTCTCCTGTTGCTATCAATGTGATGTTTGCATGCCCATCTTTAAAACTAACTCTTCTATTTGTATACCATATCTGTAATTCCGGCAATCTTCCTTTCCCTCCTGCATCTTGTTTTGTTTTTTCCTCTACTGGGTTAGTCCACATTAACATACTACAACCTCAATCTTTATAAAACAAAACAATCTTTATAAAATAAAAAACCTCCTTGATTCTGTATCTCCCTGGATTAGGAGTGCATTTTTGTGTTTCCCTTGAGAGTGAGACTCTTCAACACAGTTTTCTTCATTTCTCACTATATTAAATTCCTCTCTACTATTTTAAGACCTCTCATTTCTTCCATCCATCAAATCAGTTTGTCAGGAGGTCTGTTAAGAACAGATCTGATATAGTTGATCACTCTGTCCTACTTGAGATAACCTTCTCCATTTGGCCTCTACCTATTCCTCAGTCTTCTTTACATACTTGACATCTAAACAGGAGCATGTTCCCAGTTCACTTTACCATACTTCTAATGCTTATCTTTAAAATTCCCACTTTCCTCATTTCACAATGCTGTGAGGAAGAAGCTGTGATTCCCAACAGCACTGTAACAAAGACCCAAATCTTTGGGCAATGATTCTAAGGTGAAGCTATTATTACACACTCACAGGAAACTTTTAGTAAGAACATATTAAATATTATCAAAGTTTTCTATTACCACATACCTGAAACTAATTTCACTAAGATAATAGGATACTTTTGTTCGGGAAACATTTACACCTTTTAGTGATAATCGTATCGATTTGGGGGCACCAAAGTAAAAGACTAAATTAGGGCAGGAATACAAACCCCGGGAAAAATCTCCCACTACTAAAACAAAACAAACATTAAAAACCAACAAAACTCGTAGCCAAACAAAATCACTCATAAAATAATTACAAAAAATAAGTAGTAACATTACTATAAAGAAAAGTATGTAAGTGCATTGGTATTCAGATGAGAATGAAAATAGAGCTTTTTCTGTAATCATAAAAGAAAACTTCTATTTAGTATTGTAAAATTACCTTAAAATTTTTTATGTAATTATCAAATTACACTTTCCAAATGTACTAAACATAAAGAGAAATTAAGAACATTATTTATTGGAAAGAAAATAATTTATTATATATGAGGAAGATGATTAAAATACATGTAATATATCCCAAATAAACAGATTTAAATGCACATAAATCTAATTTTTAAATAGACTTTAAAAGCTGTTACGCACAGTTCCATAGTCCAGGTGTCAATTTCTTCTCAAAGTTGGAAAGCAGTTGGAAGACATGGAATCAAAAGGAACCTAAAACACCATGAGAATTCATTAAAAATAATGATGATTATAAAGCATTTCAATAGTTTTAAAATAACTAAAAGCTAAAACATTTATATTTAGAAAATTAGTGAATCATGTCAGTACTACAAACTTGATTGTCTAAATAAACAGCTTATACAGAAACTGATTTATAACATTAAAAAACATTTTAACTATTTCTATTAAAATAGCAATTCCAACATCGTCAAATATTTGTACTCAGAGTGATAATTATTAATAGAATTTTGAATTATTTTTATAGTACTAGTAATTACAGGATTTGTAAAAAATATAGAGGCTCCAATTCTTGGTTTTCCTGCTTGCAGGAAGCTGGATGGCTAGGCATCTAACCATTTTAATCTAAGTAGTATCCATACTGGTTAGCCCTTGTAACTACTAAAGGAATCTTTTTTCTTTATTTTTATTTTTAAAATTTATTTTATTTTTTTAAATGTTTTATTTATTTCTGAGAGAGAGAGAGATAGCATGAGCAGGAGAGGGTCAGAGAGAGAGGCAGAAAGAGAATCCGAAGCAGGCTCCAGGCTCTGAGGTGTCAGCACAGAGCCTGACGCAGGGCTCGAACCCACGAACCGTGAGATCATGACCTGAACCGAAGTTGGACGCTTAACCAACTGAACCACTGAGGCGCCCCTAAGGAATCTTTTCAAATTAGATTCTTGGTCTCATTCCCAGAAATTCTGATTTATTAGTTTTAGGAGAGACTCCAGGATTCTTTATATGGAAAAATTGTTCCTTAGTGATACTCAACCTTGGTCACACATTAGGAGGGTTGAAAAATTCCAGTATCTATGTTGTGCACTAGATCAATTAAATCAAAACGGAGACAAACCTAAGCAATGGTATATTTTTTAGCCTTTTTTCTTTTATCAGTATTTTTCAAAAGTTTCTCAGGTGATTTCCAAAATGTGGCCAAGATAAAAAACCACTGTTTTGAGTAATTCTGGTCATCAACCATTCTGGAAACCACTGTTATTCTGTATACCTACCAGTACTGTTTCTTTTCACTTAATGTGCTACCCTGAGTCAACATTATGTCTTCTTCCCTCTGTTCCTATTTTCTTATTCCTTTTGTTTTGTTTAGAAAAAGAGGAAAAGAGATACTTCTGCTTGCTATCTATCTCAAAAGAGATATCAGTAATAAAACCTCAGATGTGAGGTCTGCTCCTTTTACTTGGAATTTACAAAGAAATCTAGTTATCTTAATTTTCATTAAATGTACGTTTTTTTAAAAGAAAAAAAATCCTTTCCCCAAACAAAATTTAGAACATGTTATATAAAACACCTAAACCAGATACATCATAAAACAGAAGTCATATGTTACTGAATTAGGTTTAGGAAATACATAATATAAGCAACAAGACTAAATTCTGTGTTAAAGCAAATGCATACATTCTCCAAGTAAATACATTGACCTGATTCACTAACTTTCCCTGGAAAATTTATGTAATCTCAAGAACAGCATAGAAAATTCAGTAAATAAAAAAAAACACAAATGATTTGTCCAATTAACACTGATAATTTTAAAAACTCATTTGAATAAATTATAAAAAACTGCTTATTCTGAATCAATGAGTGGGAGAGGGACAAAACATTTCTAGGAAGAACAAAAAACACTGCCCCAAAAAGGATACAACAAGAAAGGATACACTTTGTATGACAGTATTACAGCAGTATTTACGCAGGAATGCTTCTAAAGAAGAACAGCAGAATGTAGTTTAATTTTTTTCTCAGTTTTCACATTATATTTACATAAGATTACTTTTTTAAACACACACTGAAAATTGTTAACTTCTAACTGGTCCATTAAGGTATTTGTAAGAATTCTGACTAAATCAGTATATATACTTCACAAAATTCAAATTAACAAGGCATTTCGTAAAAGGAATAAACATTATGCAAAATTTTCCCTATTTATATTTTTTTCAGCTTAACCAGTGAAGCTGACCAAGTTATTTCATGTTCTTCCAGTTTATAAAGGCAGGAAGATTTAAAATAAAACAAAATGAATATATTTTCACTCAACTTCCTAAAATCAAACAATGTAACATAAATTTTGAGGTTTAAAATGGTTAATTCTACCATTTTAAATCATTAAATTACTTAAGTATGCATTAAAATTACTTATTGGAAAGGCAAAAGATTTCATACCTCAAAAAATATGTAAATAGGTCATGACATGTAAATTAGTAATGTAAAATCTTAGGCCTCATTAAGTGTGACCAATTTGTCTCGCTTGGCAGACATTTTCCCAGTCTCAGCACAGGAAAACTACCCAAGACCCTTAGCCCAGACCTATTGCCCAGACCATTTTTTTAGCCCACAAAATGTGTGAGGGTGAGGGGAAGTCTAGTGAACTGTTTTATCAGCCCTTCAGATGATTGTAATACATATTAAAGGTTAAGAAGTATTGCTTTCCTCTAGCTAGAAAAAGTTTTAAGACACTCATTCTTCTCATAAATTCATTCTCCAAGCTAAATTATTACATACATATGGGATTTATTCATAAGGTAGTTATAATTTTGAAATTCACTGGGAATTAACTGCACAGTGACACAGAGAGGGAGACATGGGCTGATTGATCAATTAACTGATATCCTTTAAAAATTTTCGGAGATAACCTGAATTATCACTCTATCAGGTTTTTATCCTTCCTTAATTTTATCTCAAGACAGTCTTGTTCTTTTATTACGTTATATCCATACTTACCTTTATTAATTTTTAGCACTTTCTTTTTCCTTCTTTAGAATCTTGTTTTGGTCTAGCAGATCGAGCAAATTGCTAATATTTAAAAATTAAGGTTTCCTTCACAAACATGACAGTAATCTTCTCTAAATAATTATTAAGAACTTCCTAATGTAGGGTGGAAGTACAGTTTTTAAATTTTTTGTAATGTTCATATATTTTTGAGAGAGAAAGAGCATGAATGGGGGAGGGGCAGAGAAGGAGACACAGAATCCAAACCAGGCTCCAGGCTCTGAGCTATCAGCACAGAGCACGATGTGGGGTTTGAACTCAAGAACCATAACATCATGACCTGAGCTGAAGTTGGACGTCCAACCGAGCCACCCAGACACCCCAGAAGTACAGTTTTTAAAATTTATCTCTTATACTTGTCTTCTTAGTCTCAGCCATTTGTCAAATACTTTCTTGAGTGCCTACCTGCTGCCCATGATTTGCAGAAGTAAAAAATTTACCTTTTCTTTATATATTTTTTACACCTGGACCTTCACTATATATATCCCTCTGATTTCTAGCCTGCAAACCACATTAACTACTTAAGGCAGAATGTTTAATCAATGATATATATTGGTAAATTTTCAAATAGAAATATGAATTATATAATAAAACAGTAAAACTACAGTGAGTCATTATCTCTTCTTAATGACTCCAAGTGGATTTGTGGATACTATAGTCTTTTAGGCTTAGCCTAAGAATGTACTACTGAGATGTAGAAATGAAATGTTTAAACACGGCTAAATTTTAATTACCTTATGCTGCTAAGGTTCCTTTATTCTCTAATAAAAATCTAAACAACCACCTGACTCAGCTAAGTATGTTTGCAACTTAGTGTCAAGCTAGAATGCCAAGTGTTGAGATTTCTAAACAATAAAATAAAAATAAGTTGCAAGTATACCCTTCTACTTAAAAGACACACTATCTTTGGGACAGATTGTTTAAAGGATACAACCACCATCGGTTTTCCAAAAAGAACATATCCATTAGCTTCCTTTAAGGCTTTTGCTGCTGCTTTTTCATTTGGAAGTCCAATGAAAGCTTGTCCTTTCATGCGACCTTCTTTCATCAAACGGATATCAAACCTAGAAGACAAGGAAGAAAAAGAGGTTTTGATTTAAAGAATGTCAAACAATTTTGATGACAGGAAAAGAAATGTGTTGAACATTTAAATTTTTTTCTACTGCAGAGTATAAATGATTACACTCTCTGATTAAAACATTACTGAGGCTTCCTAAAATTATGTTTTATATTCCGTTCTAAATTTGATTCTAAGTAATTTAAGTTTGATAATGTGCTTTTATCTAGCTTTTTGAAGCTATGTTAAATGTATTTATGTAGCTTAAAAATTATAGTTAGAAACTACGAAAACAAACTTAAATTTTTGTTTCGTAGCTCTATTTTTAAAAAAATTTCATGTCAGCTCAATACTATGTACTCAAGTGACAAAAAACAACTACATAATCAAGAACAGAAAGGCTGAGAAGAACCACAGAAAAGTAACAGAATTTCAAAGTAGAAACTGACTTTATTGATCATCTAGTCAAAATCATTTTGGGGGTGCAGGGGTGGCTCAGTTAAGTGTCCAACTTCAGCTCAGGTCATGATCTGGCGGTTGGGGAGTTTAAGCCCCACGTTGGGCTCTGTGCTGACAGCTCAGAGCCTGGAGCCCATTTAGGAATCTGTGACTCGCTCTCTCTCTGCCCCTCCCCCACTCACACTCTCTCAAAAAAAATTAAATATCAAAATCATTTTTACAAGTGACGCCTACAGAGAATGACTTCTTTAAGGTCATATAGTTAAAGCTGGAGTGAAAAAAAATCAGAATTTTTTATTCCAAATATAGTGTTCTATTATTTCATAATGTATTCATTTTTCAACATTTTTGGGAAAACTAGTTTAGAAAATCAGAAAAACCAACTGCAATTTAAAGTACTGCGTACAACTGCGATAGTCCATACAAAGCATTTAAAAATGCAGTGATTTTTTAATTCACATGACTAGTCCCATGGAAAACATTATTAATTGATCATTTTGATGTATTCAGCTCTCTCCATATAGAATTCTTTCCCCTCAAATTCTATATGCAACAATAGAAAAAATAGAGGAAATGGGTACATACACACACACATATGTATTTATGTACACTAAACATTTTCTACATACATTTATTTTTTTGTTTCTTATAATTATGATTCAAAGGTAGCAACAATAAAAAGCAGTATTTTGCATGCCTAGCAAAAGTAACTATTGGTATCCTGATAAGAACAGATATTTGTTACTAATGAGTATAAACAAGGTTAACTAGTTACAGTTACTTTTACCTCTACACTTCTACCTCCACTCAAAAATCTCTTTACCTTTTCTCCTTTTCCCTACTTCTAATTTATATGGCTGAAGGTCTTATAAATACTTCAGTTAACTAATTATGGCATTTTAAAGAATGAAATTCTAACTCTAAACATTAGCTTTTATATCATTTACAAATCACATCTGTCTCTTTTTGCTCTCATAAAAATGGGAGAGTTGCTTAACGCAGACTAATTAAAAGAAGGGAAGTTCCTGGCAATGTTAAGAATCTGAAAAATTAGCCCTGACTGCTATATAGTCCTGAATGAGTCATTAAAGCAGTAGTTTGCGAAGTGTAGTCTTTGGGCCAGCAGCTTTGGCATTATCCATGAGCTTTTTAGAAATACAAATTCATGGGTCCTACATCAACCCAGATGGACTGAAGGAACTTTTTACCAAGCTCTCCAGGTGATTTTTACTCAGGTTAAAGTTTGAGAACCACTGCTTTAGAATTAAATAAATAAAGTTTTATTGGAACTCAGCCATAAATATTAGTTTATGCCAGCTTTCATACTACAAAAGTAGAATTGAGTAGTCCTAACAGACACTGTATGGCCTGTAATAAATTAAAAATAGAAAATGTTTGCTATCTTCCCATTTACAAAGAAGTTTGCTGACTACTACTTTAGACATCTAAAACTTATGCAACAGGGAAAATGTTGGGATAAAACAGTGATAATTTGTAACAGATAAAAACAAAGCATAATTTAAGACAGGACTCCCACTTACATTATCCGTTGTGTTTCTGAAGAAAAGTCAACATATCTCCCAAAAATAAACTTAAGGTCCTAGGATTTTAGTAAGAAAAAGACAAATAAGAAGGCTTGGAACAAAAAAGTAAAGTAAAAAATCAATTTCTAAATTTCAACTTACCTTTTCTTGAACATGTTTAGCTAAATTCTTTACGTAAATTCTACAGTTCGGTTCACCAGGTTCATAACTTCTGAAAACTGAAAGTGTTTCCATTTCTTATTTAAAAGCAAAACAAAATGATATGAAATTAGATTTTTTCATTGTTTTTTTCAAAGAAAAACCATAACAACATTCAAATACAAATGTTAATAGACCAAAAGCATTATGAAAATGTCAAAACTATAGCCACTAACAGCAATGTTATTAATAAAAATACCCACTTAAGATGTTAACTGATAATATAAAAGTTTAAAAACTTCAGGCATCTTGAATAACTAAAATTTATCCAATAAAATATCTACTATTGAAGTTCTTTTATAAGTTATTTTATTAAAAAGACAAGCAATTTAATATGTTATCAATCATTCATGTCACTGTTTTACTTAAAATCAATTTCCCAAACCACCAGGCACCAACACAGTCAAATATAAGTATGAATTAGTCGAACCTGATACTTAAGTATTTCCTACAAACTGTGGCTTCTGAATCCCTATAGAGCTACTCCTGTTTAGTGTCAATAATCAGTTCCTAACAATTGATATTCTATCCAAAAATACTAGTTGGAGATTTATTTCCCATTATTATGGGAAAAAATACAACATTACACATCAGTCAAAAACCTCTAGGGGTGCCCAGGTGGCTCAGTTGGTTAAGGGTCCCACTTTGCCTCAGGTCATGTCTCACAGTTTGTGAGTTTGAGCTCCGTGTTGGGCTCTGTGCTGACAACTCAGAGCCTAGAGCCTGCTTTGGATTCTGTTTCTCCCTCTCTCTCTGCCCCTCCTCCACTCACGCTCTGTCTCTCTCTCAAAAGTAAGTAAATATTTAAGAAAACCAAAAAACAAACCTCTAATTTCCAAAAATGTAGTAAAACAGGAAAAAATTCTTAGAAATAAAAAAACTGTCATTATAGCATATAAAATCTTTAAACAGACTTTTAATCACTACAAAACTGAAATATTTTTTAAACAAACAACTGCTTTGCATGCATCTCAAACACAATATTGTGATGATATATTTATTGTATTTGGAAATACAGAACTACAAACTATGGACCACTAGATTTTATTTAATGTCATATAAAAGTTTTGGGAATGAAAACAAAATTTTTTCCCAATTATATATATACTGAAAACACTGCATTGAGAGACACTTTACTCCCTACCGAATATGGGTATTAAAAACCAAAAGCAGTGATTAAAAACATTAACTGGAAAGATGTTTTGAAGGATATGCTTTAATTAAGGAAAGAACATGAAAGATTTGTTTCTGAAGCATCAAAGAAATGGAATAAGCACTGGTTTATTTCACAAAATTACCTTCTCTAGAAATTCTGCCTTTTTCCAACTCCCTTCTAGAAATACATTCTGATGGCATTTCATCACAGTCTTCTTTAATCTCCTCTGTGATGTTCAAATTAGGTTTGGGGAAGATTTTTCCAAATCCTACATTGGGTGTATCACCTTCAGTAGCAGGTAAATCTAAAAGTTAACATTAACATCATCAATTAAAAATTCCCTCCCTTCAAAACAGGTTGTGTTTTCCATTTTAAGATATCTTCTGGTACTAAAACTCTTCAGTGTTTTTCTCAATGCTTTAGAACTTTTCTGTAGGCAAAACTTTTTCTGTAAATGTTCAAATAGCAAATATTTTGGGCTTTGCAGGCCATATGTTTTTTGTTATTATGGCTACTGAACTCTGCCACTGTAACATGAAATAGCTACACACAATAACTAAACAGCCAAATGGTTGATTTGTGTTGCTACCTGTAAGGGCCTGCAAAGGGGAAAGAAAATGAATTCATTTTCAATATATTTAGTTTGAGGTGTCAGAAGGGATATCTGATTAAAATGTAGTGAGCAAGATAAGCAGAAATGGGTGTTGGAGGGGACGGGGCGTCAATAGTATTTTCTTTAATCTCCCCACTCTAAACTATGAATAATTACACAAAAGAAATATGCAATTCATTAAATAAGTTACATAACTAACAAAGACATTCTGTAATGGAATGTGGTCATTTACAATTATTTTTACAATGCATCTGATGACTTCATAATGCTACATCATAATATTACAAAACCACCATTAATCTTATCAAAGATTATTAAAAGATTAAGATCAGACATATGCTGAAATCATAAGACACTTTCATTTGAAGATACCAAAAAAACTTCATTAAACCACTCCCCACTCTTCCACCAAAAAAAAGTCAATCCTACTCTTGGATCCTACAAGAAGTACAAAAAAACAAGTCTTCATTCTTAAGAGATTAGTGACTAAGAAAATTCAAAAGCACTGCAATTTTTAAAAATTTTTTAAATGTGTATTTATTTTTGAGAGAGAGAGAGGAAGAAGAAGGAAGAAGAAAGAAGAAGAAGAAGTGGAAGAAGGAAGAGGAAGAAGAAAGAGGAAGAAGAAAGGAGGAAGAAGGAGGAAGAAGGAGGAAGAAGAAAGGAGGAGGAGGAAGAAGAAGAAGAAGAAGAAGAAGAAGAAGAACAAGAAAAAGAAGAAGAACAAGAAGAAGAACAAGAACAAGAAGAAGAAGAAGAACAAGCAGGGAATGGCAGAGAGAGAGGGAGAACGAAATCTGAAGCAGGCTCCAGGACGTGGGACTCAAACTCATGAACTGCAATGTTACGACCTAAGCCAAAGTCAAAGTCAAATGCTTAACTGATTGAGGAACCCAGGTGCCCCAAGACAGTAAATTAAGCTGGCATGGGAAAATAGGGTTAAACATTCAAAATAAACATTCAGAAAAATTCTAGTCATACTACCAAAAAAACTCTAAAAATCTATGAAAGTGGTGCAAAGAATATGCCACATTTAGAATTATAAACGTTTCTACATAATGTTGAAAAGTTGTTGCACAACAGTTCTCCTGTGGCCTGAAAGCATCAATAAGAGAAAAACAACAACAACAAAAAAACCCAAAAAAACTTAAAACTGCTTCTACTGTTACTTCAACATTTACTACTTGACACTGATGTAGAATGTGATGACTGTTACCCTCTCATACATGTCTAAACCTTTGAGTAAATTAAACTTAAAAAATAAAAATATTACATCTAAGGGTAGCTAACATGAAATAACAAAGAAAAATATACAGAAAGAAAAATATAGGGCTGCCTGGGTGGCTCAGTTAAGCATCGGACTCTTGATCATGGTTCAGATCATGATCTCAGTTTGTGGGTTCAAGCCCTGCACTGGGCTCTATGCTGATGGCACGGAGCCTGCTTGGGATTCTCTTTCTCCATCTCTCTCTGTCCCTCCCCTGCTTGTGCTCTCTCTCTCTCAAGATAAATAAAAAAAAATATATAAATACTGAAACACAAAATGAGCAATCTGTGCCCTTACTGTTCATTTATTCAACAAACAACAATAATTGCTAATATTTAGACATTTAGACCAGGCCAAGCAGTTTACTTGGATCATCTTGGTATTTCTCTTGGCCAATATTTATTATCTGCTTTTCTGTGATGGGCACTGTGCTCTGGGGCAGAGGTACTGCATATGCTATCTCTCTGGTGGAGATTATGGTCAGATGGCTGACTCCAACCCAACCCTAATGCCAGAAGGGCCAGGACAAGAGTCTACAGAAGGAGCCTTCATACCATACATTGAAATACTGTAAAGTTACAAATCAAGTTTAACTGTTAAATATGTTCTATTCTCTTAATGAAAGAAAAAAAAAAGAAGGTAATGCCTTCTCACTAACCATGATAAAGGAAGGACTTAAAATCAGTTCTTCCACTCCTTTGTAACAGTTACTGGCTCTATGATCATATATTCACACAAGTACTCAAAAACAGATCTGTAAAAATGTATGTTCCAGTGGTTTCTCAAATAGTAAAAAAGCAGAAACAACCTCAACTTCTACCAGTGGAGCATGGTTAAATAAAGACTGATGAAAGGCACCTGGGTGGCTCAGTCAGTTGAGCATCTGACTTCAGCTTAGGTCATGATCTCATAGTTCATGGACTCAAACACTGCATCAGTCTCTGTGCTGACAGCTCAGAGCCTGGAACCTGCTTTGGATTCTGTGTCTCTCTCTTTCTCTCTGCCCCTCCCTCACTCATGGTCTGTCTCTGTCTCTCTCTCTCAAAAATATATAAACATTAAAAAAAAAAAAAGTATATATTTTATGTTCTAATACAGTAAGGCACTCCCACTAGACTTTAAACTCCAAAAGGTCAGAGACCATGACTAACTTGTCTTTTAGTGCCTAGCATACTGTTTGCTATGCTCTAAGCTTTCAATAAGTCACTATCAAATCAATGGCAAATACTACATAAAACATGATGCCCATTTTAAAAAAGAAGAAAACATGTGTTTACACATGTGCAGGATAAGGTCTGGAAGAATATATTCCAAATTATTAACAATGGCTATCTCTGTGTAGTAAGATAGGGAACAGTGAGTGGGGTTTGAAGTATTACCTCTTAAAATGTTACTTTATATGTTTTATTTTTTATCAGCTTGTATTATATCCAATATTTAAAAAAAGATTTAAAATGCAAAGTAATGCCATTATAATGTCAAATTAATGCCTAAAATAAGCAGAAGAAATATCTGTAATGCTAATAAATTATCTTTAAACTTAAGAACACTATCTTAGTAAACAATCTTCCATGTCTTTTGCATAAAAAATATTTACATAAAATCTACAACACACTCAACAGTCACATAGTTTGTTTCCTAATCAATACAATTATACTAATAAAACCATACAACATCAGACCTAACAATGAAAAGTCAACAGAAGAAACTTTTCTATTGTATTTTTAGTGTAAACATCAGCAAAAACCAGGCTAAATTTCACCCTATAGTTCATTACTAACAAAAGGCAACAGTGATGGTCTCATCATTAAGCACTAATTTTAGTTATAGGGAAAAGTTCAAAATGGATAGTATTCCATGATATTAACCAAGCCTGCATATTTTAAAATTTTAATTCTGACACATAAAGCAGATTGAGAGGAATTTTTACATAGCATATTAAAGAACTAGAATATGCTTACCATAATTTTGTTCTTCACGATTTTGTTCTTTTTCTAGATCTTTCTTAAATGCAGATGGCATATCAGTAGATATATGAAATTCAATTTTCTTATTACCTACAGGTTGTGGTTGGTCAAATACATCCGAAGGTAACAGCACTGGATGTAAACTGCTGTTTATAAACAGTGATAACATTACTTTGTAACTGCAAATAAAATCCTGAGTAAAACTTCATTTCATATTTACCTTAAATTAACACTGACAAAGTGCTTATAATACTAAAGGCATTGCACAAAGTAACTTCAATTAATACTTTAATAAATACTAACAAATTTTCTAATATGAGTACTATTAAATTCCTAGTTAGACAAGGAGATTGAGATTAAGGGACATCACTCATTAGATGACAGAGACAGTACTGGAGACTACTGATTCCAAACTTCAGGACATTTACCAGTATACAAAGAAGTTTATTCTATGTTTAATATAAGCATTTTTATGTACTGTATTCTATATGCTGTATAATAAAGCTGTGCTGTCAAACAGAATTGCTACTAGCCACATGCATAGCTAATGAGCACTTGAAATATTGCTGTCCAAATTAAAATATAAGCATATAAAATACACACCAGACTATGACAATTTTGTAGAAAAAAATGCCAAACATCAATAACTGTTTATAGTAATTATATGCTAAAATAATAATCTGGGTATTATGGGATAAATAAAATATACTATCAATATTAAATTCATCCACTCTTAATGTGGCTATTAGAAAACTGAATTTGGTTCACATGATTTATCTTTAATTGTTTAGTGCTGCTATAGAGATTAAAAGCATGGGACTATAGTATCAAGACATGCATAGGTAAAAAACATACATCATATTTAAACTTAATATAAAGCTTAAAAAATATAAGACTCATTCCTTTAAAATGGAAAAAAAAGGTGCCTGAGTGGCTCAGTTGGTTGAGCATCTGACTTCAGCTCTGGTCATGATCTCATGGTTAGTGGGTTCGAGCCCCATGTCAAGCTCTGTGCAGACAGCTTAGAGCCTGGAGACCTGCTTCTGATTCTGTGTCTCCCTCTCTGCCCCTTCCCTGTTTGCCCTCGGTGTCTGTCTCTTGAAAATAAACATACATTAGAAAAACGAAAAAGTAAAAAAAATAAAACAGAAAAAAGATTTTTAGCAAACACCTTTCTTCGTTACATATAAGCTCAAGACAAATTTATATTGTAGAGTAGGTAAAAAAAAAAAAAAAAAAAACCTAAAATTGCAATTAATAATTTCATCTAAGATATCAAAATACAAAGAATTCCATGGCAAACAGGCAAGTAAAATATCTGCCATAATTATTTTTAAATGACATGAGATAAGCAAGTATACAAAGTACATTAAAAACCCTTATTTCATAATCCAAAGCAAAATTACCTGTGTGAAGTAGATGGTGTTTTCAACATATCCTTTATTTTTTGCTTTTTTCTAACATGGTGCTGCTTTATTGTTTTCGGTCTTTTGGGCTGAAGATTTGCTAGTTCCATTAGTTTGGTCATTCTACATTAGGGAAAGAAAAATAAAAACAAAAATTTCTCATGTAAGCACATAAAATATAAATTAAGCTATAAATATAAATGACACATTCTAATATAAATTATGATTTATGTAGCATAATTATAGTTTAAACATTTTTTAAAATTTTTTCTTGATTTTTATTTTTGAGAGAGAGAGAGAGAGAGAGAGAGAGAGTGCGTGAGCAAGCAGGGGAAGGGGAGGGGGAGAGGGAGAGGGTGACAAAGAATCTGAAGCAGGCTCCAGCCTCTGAACTGTCAGCACAGAGCCTGACATGGAGCTCAAGCTCACAAACTGTGAAATCATGACCCGAACTGAAGCTGGATGCTCAAACCAACTGAGCCACCCAGGCACCCTATTAAGTATAGTTTCTAAGCCATCAACTAAGATAATTTAAAATAAGCTCAGTTTCTAAATTTCCTTGGTCACCTTTCATCTTACTTTAAAGAAACTGAGAATTTACTTAGTTTCAATTTATCTCTAAAAGACATATTTTATTATAAAAATTATCAGTTGTTCAATAAAATGACTAAGTTTTACAGGATGCCAAAAAGTTAAATGGAATACAGCAGTATCAACTATGTAATTTTACTGCTCTTTCCTTGACTGATGAATTCAAAAAACCTTACAAATACAATTATCTTGATTCTTCTAAAGAGAAACTAAACTATTTTTATTTTAAAGCATTTTGTGTTTAAATGTTGCACATGAATCATTATACAAACAAGTTACTTGAGAATAATGTTTTCAAATTCAGTACTATACTCTGAAGTAGTTTATAAATAACTATCAAGGTGAGACAATTGATACGTTGTATGTAGTTTATCTTCATTTTGAGTATGACTAATATTTAGAAAAGATCTTGTCTAGGCATTTTTTAGATCCTCCCAGGATCAGACATAGTGTTTCCATAGAGCACAAGCTCAAAAACCACTAGTCATTGATTGCTCTATTTCTACAGTTATATTTGTGAAATTTGAAAGCAAAATAAACATGCATGCAAAATTCAAGAAAGGAGAAGTGGTTAAAATAAGCTTTAAATCTAAGCGAGGAAAAATGTAAACTTGTGCTATGTAAAATAAAGCCTCTTAACAATCACAGTTTACCCCAAATTTTATGAATTTAGTAATAAGAAACAAGCTTCTATTCACAAACTTTTCAAAGTATACTAAGCCTCCACAACAGTGCCAGGCATAAATTAAGCAGGTAATCAACAAATATTTGTTGAATAAATAGTACAGGTTTTTTTGTTTTTTGTTTTTTTTTCTTTTTACATTGACAGGAGATAATAGAAAAGCATGAAACCAGAGACTGTTCCATGCGGACTTTATTCTCATTACTCAAGATGAATTACTTGCAAAATCCTCACGATGTCCCTAAATGAAAACCTAAATAAAACAACAAAAAGAGTTTTCACCAGTCTACGTAAAGAATTTTATTTTTACAAAAAAAAGTAAAATTTACAGAGGATATGTAATTAACACAAGGCAACACTCTAAGCTGTTCTTTATTTAGTAATAAGTTAAAGTACAGTCTATCAAGAACTGCCAGCTTTCCTAAATGTGTCTATTCAAGACACTCTATTTACCCCATTTATGTAGTCTCGGCTCTACCTACACTTTGATTTTAATTCTTTCTCTTGAAAGAATGTATATATTGAGCAACTACTTAAGTGAACATTGACTTCATAACCCTGAACTTGTTACTGTTTATTTGTAAATATTGCCTAGATTCTCCGCTTGGGTTTTGACTGGTGTATGGATGGTCAACCATTCCTGTATCTGACTTCTATACACAGTTACCAAAGATTCCCAACCTATGGGGCTCCTGTCTGGCTCAGTTGGTGTAGCGTAAGACTTTTGATCTCGGGATTGGGTTCGAGCCCCATGTTTGGTGTAGATAAAAATAAAAAATCTTTGGGGATCTTGGATGGCTCAGTTGATTAACTGTCCAACTCTTGATTTTGGCTCAAGTCATGATCTCATAGTTCCTGAGTTCAAACCCTGTGTCAGCTCCACCCTCAAGAATCTAGGATTCTCTTTGCCTTTATCTCTCTGCCCCTCCCGTACTTGCTTTTTCTCTCTCTCAAAACAATTAAACTTTAAAAATAAATAATAATCTTAAAAAAAAAAAAAAAGATTCCCATCATGTGCACACACTGATCTTCTGGAGCAGGGACTGGCAAATTACAGCCCTGGGACCAAATTCAGCCAGCTACCCGGTTTTGTACACAGAAAGTTTTGTTGAAACACGACTATATCCACTCACTTAGGTTTATCTGTGGCTGCTTTCCTACTACAACAGAACTCTCTATCCCTATGCAGAAAATGTTTAGCAATTCCTATTTTAGGCTATGCTATGGATTATACACCTGAACATTATTAACAATTTACTGGTTTTCCCAGAATCTTTAAATAAAATATATGTAGGTTGTCAAGAACGACCAATAAATTCATCTGCATTAGTTACTATGAATGGCTTTGCATAAATCCCCAGAAATGCTCTGGAAATTACTCAGAGGTGAATAAAATTAATGGAATAAGCTGAAAAAAATATGAATACAATCTATTCTTATTTTTGTTATTTGAGATAGTTATGTTTTATAAAGCCCCCCCCCGCAAGTCTCCACAAAGAATTAGTGAATAATGAATTAATACCACTAGGGGAAAGTCAGGATTAGTTTCTTACAATAGTTTCAAGTCTATTCTCTAACATTTTATCAACTGATCTATAAACACCTCGTTTTACGTGTTTCTGGTTTAAGGACATCTATTTTATTTTATTTTATTTTTTTTTAATTTTTTTATTTTATTATTTTATTTTATTTTATTATTTTACTTTATTTTATTTTTATTTTATTTTTTCCAGAGTGATTTATTTTTCTTTAAATTTATTGTCAAGTTGGTTTCCATATAACACCCCGTGCTCATCGCAACAAGTACCCTCCTCTGTGCCCATCATTCCCTTTCCGCTCTCCCCCACTCCCATCAACCCTCAGTTTGTTCTCAGCATTCAAGAGTCTCTCATGGTTTGCCTCCCTCCCTCACCCCAACTATTTTCCCCCTTCTTCTCCCCTATGGTCCTCTTTAAGTTCCTCCTAATCCACCTATACGTGCAAACATATGGTATCTGAAGGACACCTTATTTTAAATATTGTTGATTCGTTAACACTGAATTCACAGTCAACAGCACTACAACTCAAACCTGAAGAAGGTTTATGTAATGTGTTTTCTACATGAGGCACATCACAGCCTTCTCAATCTTGTAAACATTAGACAGAACTACAACACTATGGTGGGGACCACTTTAAACAACAAAATCACAAACAAGCAGCATAAAAATGTGAAAAGCTTAGTATTAAATAGACCATGAAAAACATACTACAGTATGGGAGCTGAAGAAGGCAGGCTGTCACCCTATTTTACCTCATCTAGGAATACGCACATCAAGCAACTCAAATTTTTCACTATCTGTGCATGCCCATAAAAGCACTATAAGTATTGATTTTGGGGTTACAAATAAATTTTAGCAGGTAGGCAAATTCACAAATACACAATCCACAAATAATGAGGATCAACTGCACTTTAGAGTATCATAATCATCAATCTAAAAAATTACTTATAATCAAAAAAATTTTCCTTAGGTCTTAATATATAGTCCCAGGTGTTAATCTGCACCTAATATATATGCTCAGGGGTTGGAGGATTGGGGACAAATTCTAATCACCCCAAATTATGAACAATTATAGGCAAAATTTAATAAGAGTAAGAGAATTTCTCATATTGTTTCTTCAAATCCAAACAAACATTTGATATTACAAACCTCTGTCGGTCTTCATCATCACTGCTTTCATATTCTGATTCTTTACTTGATAATTCCTCATCCTCATCTGGCAAAGGAGGTTCCTCTGGTGGCTGAGGAGATGTAGGTGGAAGAGGTGCATGTAATGGCATATAGTCTTCATACTAATTAAAAGAAAAAAACAAAAAGACTATAGCAATCTATGATATTTATAGAACAGAAAAAACATTTCCATTCAAACATACTATTTTCAGATCTCTTTCCCTCATGATATTCTTTTACACATTCAACATTGAGGAGCACCTGCTACAGAAGATGATTAATTGATCACAAAACTTATTTCTTTCTCCTTCACACCTAGCTGGACTAAATTTCCAAACCTCCTTTACAGTTTGATCTCACCATATAACAGTTTTAGCCAACAAAATGCTAGCATTAAAAAAAAAATCCACCCATAATCCTCTCTTTCTTCTTGATCTGCAGGATGTATGGTAATACCCTCAAGGATATGGGAATGCACATAGTGAAGTTATGTCTTTTGAATGATTCAGTAGAGTAGAACACCATTTTGTCCCATTTGGGATGAACCTGACATGCATTAGAAATAACTTATACTGTGTTAAGTGACTAAGATTTGAATTTTATTTTAACAGTAGTAAGCCTAAACTTTATTTTTTATTTTGAGAAAGAGAGAGAGAATGAGCATGCACATGTGAGCTTGTGAGGTGGAGAGGCAGATAGAGAGGGAGAGAGAGAATCCCAAGCAGGCTCCACACTGTCAGCACAGAGCCTGATGCAGGGCTCAATCCCACAAACAACAAGATCATGGCCTGAGCTAAAATCAAGAGTTGGACACCTAAATGACTGAGCCCCCATGCACCTAACAGTTAGCCTAATCTGACTAATAATCCTGAAAGGTGCTAGGCATTGAGGTCTTGTGATTACAAAATATTACGAAAGTAAAAGTACAGACATTAGAAAAGTAACCAACATGCAATACATAGTAGAAAAGCAAATTTTCTATTTAAATGTTAGGACTCAAAATAATTTCTCAGTGCTACTGTCTAAACAAGTACTAAGAGTATCACACCAAAATAGTAACTAGAATTATTTAAGAGCAGACATAGATGATCTAAATTACTGACAGATTTGCAGAGTAAATTCTAATAAAAATTATTAGCAACCTTTCTTGTCTTTTGCAAATGAAGTTCCATATGCAGTAAACCAGAAACAATGGAAATTTTACGTAATTGTTAAATGTAATTATTTTATAAAATGGCAGAATGTTCTGGGTCAGAGGACTGAACAACAATGGCAGATGATGGCCTCTGGTTCAGTAGATCAAGCCACTCCTTTTTGTTGTTAGTAGGCTTCACTCCCAGCATGAAGCTCAACACAGGGCTTGAACTCCTGGCCCTGAGAGATCAAGACTTGAGTTGAGATCAAGAGTTGGACACTTAATTAAGATACTCAGACACCCAAGCATGCAACTATATCAAGGTCATGAGTCCAAGTCCCATGATGGATATATAGCCTAAGAAATAAATACAGAAAAAAAAGATATCACAGAAATCGTGACCTCTATTACCAAACACATCTCTTTCATGTTCTGACTTTCTTCCACTTTTAGTTGTCCACTTGACTAATTTTACATTAACTTTATATTTGTCCCTTATTTTCAATGCATATTAGAGGTTACAGGCACAATATTTGTGACCTTTATCTTAAATAATTCCAACTCAGAAGAGAAGTTGTAAATCTTTAAAGTTCTAAGAGCTTTTTTACCATGGGAGGTCGTGCTGTAATTGGTCCAAAAGGTGTGGGCAAATTCATTTTATTCATAAGATGAAGTACCTTAAAGCAGAAAAACACTTAAAATCACATAATAAAATGATGATTGAACTCACATCTTCTATTTTACATACTTTAAAGCTTTGCAATAACACTCGTGATTTAACAAATCACACACCCCTTGCCTTATCCCAAAACAGGGATAATGCCAGGCACTAGTGTATCTCAGAAGATTAACTTTCCTAAAATGTTTGTCAATTCTACAAATACTATTATTCCCATTACTAAAAACATGTTCTTGCAACATAAATGCTATCAAAATGTTATATATTTCCCTTTAATTACTGTAGAATTATGCAACAGAAGGTACAATAAAGAAAAAAAATATCATCTACATTTTGTATTTCAAAGTATGTTAATAATGTTAATACTTTCAAGCATTTGCTGAATGGTCTACTATGCCTTTTCCTTTAGGAAAGAATCTCTATATTAAAGGTGTATGCTCAAGTAACAAAAATTACCAGAAACTGAATTTCCCAAATCAGCTTATGTTTATTATTATTATTAATACTAAACATATTACCTATTTATGTAATTAGAATTATAGAATTAGAATTACATAATTAGAATTATGTAATTAGAAATATGTAATTACTAATACATGTAATTAGAATTACATATTCTAAACATGCCACAGTTTAGAAACACCTCTACTTGAATACAGTATCACTTCATTACCTTTTGCAATGGACTGAACCCCCACCCATATACACATCCTAATACTCAATGTGTTTTAGAAGGTAGGGACTTTGGGAAGTAATTAGGTCATAAGAGTAGACTCCCACAAATGGGGTTACTATCCCTTATAGAAGAGACCCATGAGAGCTCTCTCACCATTTTTTTGCAAAGTATGAATAAAAAAAGAGAAAACAGTCATCTGCAGTCCAGAAAAGGGCCCTTACCAGAACTCAACCTTGCTGGCACCCTAAGCTTGGTGTTCCAATCTCCAGCACTGTGAGAAATAATTTTTTGTTGTTTATAAGCCACTGAATCTATGGTACTTAGTTATAACAACCCAAACTGACTAAGACACCTTTAAATTACTGTAATATCATTGCCTGTTAGAATTAGTCTGATTAACACTATTATGGAAAGTATAAAAATTAGCATGGAAAATAACTTATCAAGTTATTCAAGCATCAATTTTGTGCAAAGTTACTTTTCATTCTACTTACCTGTACATAGAACTTAGGCACACTTGCCAAAGCATTTACAATGTTTGCTAGGATTGTGCTTGAAGGTGGTGGGTACATATACTTGAGGCATGAATTCAGAGGAAAAGTCAGCCTAAAAAATATTTAAAATGTTTATCATGTTTAGTAAGTTTCATATCAATAACTCAATTTTTAGGTAACACATAAAATTGCTTACATAGATTTAGATTTACCTTGCTCCTAATAATCCCAAATAAGTACATTTAAAAAGAAATTTGCTTTCTGACTGCACTAAAGGTCTTTCTTATCAGACCTTATATTATAGCTTTTAACATTAAAAAAAATTTTTTTTAATATTTATTTTTGAGAGAGAGAGAAAGTGTGTGAGGAGGGGATGGACAAAGAGAGAGGGAAATACAGAATCCAAAGCAGGCTTCAGGCTCTGAGCTGTCAACACAGAGCCTAATGCAAGGCTCTAACTCACGAGCCATGAGATCATGACCTAACCTGAAGTTGGACACTTAACTGACTGAGCCACCCAGGCGCCCATATAGCTCTTAACATTTTAAAGGACCCAAATTCAGTGACAAACTCTAATAGCTCAAAATGTTTAATCAACATGTTAAAAATATACATGACAGATAATATTCTGTAAAAGATTTTATATGCAATATAGGCACGTACACACGTACTCTGAACAACAAAACCGAAAAAACAACAAAACACTAACAAAAAATGCTAACCCGTGGTTTGGTGCAATCCCATTTTCTATGGTTAAACAACCAAGTTCTTTCTTTTCTTTATCATCTTCCACAGGGTCATCAGATCTAAAAAATACAGAATGAAAGTTAATCTTTAGAAATAGAGTAAAAAAAATGCATACAGAAAAGACATATTACCTTTTCAACATGGTACTGTATTATGAAAATAGTTCCATAATAAATAAAACTTCCAACCATTTCTCAAACAAATAATCCCAAACAAATAATCCCAAACAAATAGCAAAAGAAAGGTAAATAGTAATCAACGTTAGTAAATGTCCTTCTTTATCCTAGACATTATACAAGGCATACATTTTCATTTATTCTTTTTACACTTCAATGAAACCCTATGAAGATGGTATGACAAATCTCATTGAAAAAAGACAAAAAACAACAACAAAAAGCAAAAAACTACCCCTGAAGTTCACATGGTATACAACAGTGGTATTCAAATTTCATACTGTGTTATCAATATCACTTAGACGGTTTACTACAATTCAGACTGCTGGGCTTTATCCTCCTCTTCCCACCCCCCAAATTTCGAATTCAGTAGGACTAGAGTAAGGCCCAAAAATCTGTATTTCATTTTTCCTTAATGCTTATTTATTCATTTATTTATTTACTCACTTATTTTGAAAGAGAGAGAGAGATACAGAGCAAGTACAAACAGAGGAGTGACAGAAAGGAGAGAGAGAATCCCAAGCAGGCTCTGTGCTAACAGCAACATGGGTCTCAATCTCAGAAACTGTGAGATCATGACCTGAGCTGGTATCAAGAGCCAGATGGATGCTTAACCAACTGAGCCTCCCAGGCACCCCAAGCATCTGTATTCCAATCAAGATCCTAGATGATGCAGCCCGTCCAGGGAGTACTCTGAGAACCACTAGTGGAAGGCAAATTTATAAAAGTTTTATAACTACAAAGAGTTACAGTTTGGAACCAAATACAAGTTTTTGATTTCAAAGGCCATGCCTTTTCATGACACCCTGCTATCTGTAATACAAGGACTTATACTAGTTATATTCCTCCACTTAAAGTTGAAGGAGTTTCACTCTATCCTCTTCCCACTGATTAAGTTCTTAATATTAAATCAACACTCAAGATTCCTAATGCATAATTAAGAACATAAATATACTAGATTCAAGAGATGTATAATTTATTATCTTAAATTATTTACTTGCTAGTCTGAAAACAACCCAATAGAAAACACAATTGACTAAAAATACTTTAAAATTTTAGGAAAACCTAACTATCTACATACCTTTTCTTTTTTTCAGTGTCTGAAGAGGGACATGGGGAATGAACTCGATCTTGTTCTTTTGCAAATTCAACAACTAAAGTATGACCCAAAAGTTTTAGCTGATGTAGTCTTGTCAATGCCTTCAGTTGGAAAAGCAAGAGTAAAATATTTTATAATTCTACCAAAAATTGTTAGAGAACATCTACATAATAACTTATACATGCTCTTTGTTAATGCTGACATTTTCTTGGCTATTTCTTACCCATTTCTAATGTCAGGCTGGTTAGCCTTTGTCATTTATTAAGGGACTGCTTCCTATTACTTACCAAAACGAAGATACGCTTAAATCCAAATCTGCCTATACCTAGGCAGCTGAAAAGGTTAGAAAAACAAACAGAATCAGTCTGGGCTTACTTTAAATTCATGACCACAACCACAAATTTGGGAGTGGAACTTAATGATGCCATACATATTGCGTTTTTAGTTTTTGTTTTGTTTTTTTTAACTAATTTTTAAGAAACTATTTTGTATTTTCTTCTGGTTCCTCAACCTCACAACATTTCTCTCCCATTCTTTTAGCCTAGTACTTTGCTTCCTACTTTGGGAAAACTAAAACAACTAGATGAGAACTTCAGATTCCCATCATAACTCCCATCTATCAGCATATGTATTCACATATTCTACCTTCTGCTATAATGTATTAACTAGTCATGTTTTTAATCTAAATCCAGTTGCTTGGCTTGTATACTAATAAATCCCACCCTCTCATCTACTCAAGAGTCTCTCTTCTACTCCCTGGAACTGTTTGGGAAGTGTTCTTTAATTTTCTGTCCTCTACTAAATTGTCCATATTAGCACTAATATGCTTCTCTCTCTCCCATCCTAACTTGTTTTTCTTCATCCATTGATCCACTTTGCTCTTCTCCCCTCCTTTATAATTACTGTTGCAGAAAACTCCTTAAGAATTACCTAAGCCCTTTACATAAAATCCCTTTCTTCCCATCCAGTCACCAACTCAGTCCACTGCCACTGCTTGTCAAAGACAACAATTTCTGTACTGCCAAGCCTATGGTCTACTTTCAGTCATCATTTTATTGCATTTAACACAGTTGATCACTCCCTCCTTGATACATGTTCTTTACTTGGTATTAAGACATCATACTTTCCTGCTGTCTGCTTCCTAGCTCACTGGTTTCTACTCTTTACTCTTGGCTTGTGCCTTCTCAAATTCTAAATGTTGGCATACTCCAGAGTTCTATTATTGGCCCTCTTTCCAGCTACTATCTTGGTGATCTAATCAGCATCCTAAATTTAAATTCCATCACTATGCTTATAATTCCCCAATTCATAACCTCAGCCCAAACCTTCCTGAAGGTTTCCTCCAAGAAAACATATCCAAACTACCCGACAGTTCCCATAAGGTGTCTAACAAACATCTCAAAACATCTCATTTCAGAAATTGAGCCACTAATGTTCTCTCCTCATACCCTCAAATATTTTCTATCTGGAACTTTCCACATTTCAGTTGCTGGTAACTCCATTCTTCTACTTATCTTGGAATCATCTGTAAGACTTCTTCCCACAGTGTATCCAAGCCATCAAGAAATTCTGTTTGCTTCTACTTTCAAAATATATTTAGTATCTAACCACTTCTTATCACCTCGTTCCAAATAGCTATCATCTCTGAACTAAACTGCCACCATAACCTTTTTGTAGATTCTGTTGTTTCTACTCTTCCCTGCTTTACATCTCTTCTCAACACAATACCCAAGGTGATCCTTTTAAAAATATGCTGTATTATGTTACTGCTTTGCTCAAAATACTCCAATTGCTCCCCATTTTACTCAGAATAAAATCTAGGATCCTTAGATTACCTAAATGAGGGTTGCCTGGGTGGTTCAGTTGGTTAGGTATCCAACTCTTGATTTCAGCTCAGGTCATGATCTCAGGGTTTGTGAGTTCTGTCAGAACAGAGCCTGCTTGGGGTTCTGTCTCCCTCTCTCTCTGTACTTCCCTGCTTATGCTTACTCTCTCTCATAATAAATAACCTTAAAAAAAAAAAAGAATACCTACATGATGTGGCCTCTATTACTTATCTGACCTCAAATCCAATTATTTTCTCCTCATTCTGTCTGCTTCAGCCACTCTGGCTTACTTGTACATGATATTCTCCTACACTACAGCCCCTGTTCTAGCCAATATTCTGATCAAAATGCACTTTTCCAGATATTCCCTTCGCTAACTTCCTTCACCTCCTTCAAATGGTTACTGAAATATGACCCTAAACACCTCAACTGCAACTTAACCATCCCCATCTAGCACTCTTGATCCTGTTTGTTTTTCCTTTATATTCCATAGCACGTATCATTTTCTAAAATATTAAACAATTACATTTATTATTTATAATCTGTCTCCCCTTTAGAGAATGTGAGCCTCAATGAGGACATAAATCTTTATTTACTTATTATTTTTTCATAAATATTTTATTCACTGATTTACCTGCCTTAACTAGGGCTACAATTTTATTTTACTACTTTTTGCCTCATTTTAAAATATGTAAATAATTTTCAAGTCCCTAAATCAACTCTAGACCTCTTTACTATCAGTGAACTTTTGACTGTCTGAAATACAGAGCATCTAAGTTCAACTGCTTCAACTTTCTTCCTTGCAAAATGGATGTCACACATATTCTCTTCAAGGACATATGGTTTTTAATTTTTAATGTTAACTAATTTCCTTCATCTCTCTCAGCTACTTACTTTGTAATTCTACTTCCTTTTTACCTTCTCAATCCCATTCTCCTTTCCTGGCCTGTCTTCCTTGGGCAATCATATCATTCACCAGATTCAAGAAACTCCATTTTGACCTTGTCTCAGCTCTAGAGCCATGTTTTTAACTGTATTAAAAATATATCCACAGAAGTAGCTCACTGACTCCAAAAGTTAATAGATAACATTTGTATTTATTATCTACCTTTGCAAAATTCTTTTAAATCCTGCCCCTAATGTCAGCAAATGTAATAACCTAACACCTCAGTCCAAAAATCTCAAACCTCTATCTCTATAGGAATCACAAGACCTACAAGACCTCAATCTCTACCAAGTGCATACCTATTTCTTCCTTTGTCTTCTTATTGATTTCTTCAGATCTTTTATCTTGCTTTGCCCATTATAAAATTTCTTGTCTTAGCTTTCTACTTGGTCTACCTACCTCTAATTTTTCCATATCTAATCCATTACATGAACTCTACAGGTATCTTTGACAGAGCTGACCATATTATTGGCCAGCTCAAAAGTATCAGTGCCTTAACTAATATCTACTAAACAAGATTCAATCCCTCCCTCCCACCCAAATTTAGACCTCAACCTATTTTCCAAGTCCTATTTCCAGTTCAACCCTTAATTCTTACTCTACTTACAACTTTCCATGTTCTGTAGCTTCACTTAGTGTTCCCCCTACCTGAAAGACCCATCTCCCTTTGTTTTCTTCTCAAAATCCAACTACTCATTAAGGTCTACCTCAAAGGTCAACTCCTTTGCAAATAAATCCCTAGGATTTTTTAAAATATATGTATTTTCCATTTAATGCTTAAAACATCTTGCCTTGCAGCAGTTTAAGAGTTATCAATCTTTACATCCTTTAGAACTCGTTATTTTTAATCACCTATGAAATTACAATTCAATTTTAATTTGCTTTCCAGTTAATCTATGTTTATCTTTTTTTTTTTTTTTGAGAGAGAGAGGGAGACACAAAATCTGAAGCAGGCTCCAGACTCCCAGCACAGAGCCTGATGGGGCTCGAACCCACAAACTGTGAGATCATGACCCAACCTGAAGTCCAACACTTAACTGACTGAGCTACTCAGGTGCCCCTCCAGTTAATCTATTCTTATGTCCAAAAAGCTAAACGATGGAGAAGATTTGCCAACTGATAAACCAAATGCAGTCTGTGAGGAAAACCCTTGAAATACAGATCTTTTTGCTTTTGAAAACTGTAGTTTAACATCACATTTTTCAACAAAAATTTGTTAATAGGAAACTGCTGACAACTTTACTAGTAAAAAATAAAATTATTATACCTTTATAGCTGCCTTTTCATTAGGGAAAGTAGCAAAAGCTGTATGTTTCTGAAAAAGAATCAAGGTACAAATTATTTGTAACATAATTTCAGTTTTTTATAAGGAAATCTGATACTCTGCCAGTTGACAGAAATTTCAAAACTCAATAAAATCATGGAAAAGGATGGAAATCGAGATTGTTTTAACTGATAATTTCAGTACAGTGATTCTGAATCTTTGTTTCAGAGTTCCTTGAAATGACAGCTATGTAGCCTTTGAAATATGAAGGTGTACACATATACAGAATGTTTTACACATACTTTCAAACAGTTCAATAGACCAGAAGTTTAAAAACCCCTACAACACAGATGACAACCCTTAACTATTCCAATATACAAAGTATCTTCAATATGTAATACATACGAAGATCTTAAAAACTTTCCTCTATAAGCTAAAAGTTCAAAAATGTTTACCAACAGAAAATCATTCATTAAGTGCATGTTTCCTCTGTGATTTATCCTTGTAATAATGGTTCAAAGAAGCCTATTTTTAAATATAAACTGTAAATAGTTTAAAAACCATCAGAAAAAAACAGTAGTCTAAAGTAAATGAATCCTTATGCCATGCAAGAGTTCCTGTCAAGAGTTGCTTAATTATATCACACATTATAATTTTGTCAGATCTGATCCAAGATGACCTAATTAAGTGTACTTAAACTCAAAAACAGAATATTTGTACTTCTGGTATACATGACTGGTCTTTCTTCTCAGTACCTCTTAACCCTGGCTGCACATTAGAATCACTCACATTAGAATCCTCAATTAGAGGAGACTAAAGCCACGGATATTTTGCTGCATTGCACACCATCTTGCAGAAACTTAACATCACCATTACTATTTTAATGGACAGAAATCCATCCAAAACATCTTCAGGCATAAAAGCAAATAAGCTGAGTAAATTCCTGTGTAGAAACTTCGAGCAGTCTTAAAAATATCATTCCCCAAAAGACTCCGTCAGAAATAAATTTATTTACTGAATTTTATTTTATTTTAGAACGAAAGAGCGTGAGCGGGGCAGGGGCATAGACAGAATCCTAAGCAGGCTCCAAGCTCAGCGCGTACGTAGCCCGAGACGGGACTCCATCTCACCACACAGGAACATGATCTGAGAGAAATCTAGAATCCAAGCCTCAACAGCCTGAGCCACCCAGGTGCCCCCTTTTTATTTTTTAACTTTACTTTAGAAAAAGATTTTATGAATAATTTCTTCGGAAAGAATCTGGTAGAAATTCTGTAACTGGTTTACTGAAGTACTATTGTAGCTTCTCTATTTTAACGACTGTCTTTACAGTGGCTTCTAAGTGAACAAACACTGTTGAAAAGGTCTTTGTACTTTATATTTGAGAGTACTGAGTTTAAAAGGAATGCTCTCAAATTCAGAGGAGTTTTGAGATTCCCAGGATGGATGAGAAAAGGGAACATAAGCCATTTACCACTCTTCTGCCTTGCCCTTCTCGGCAGCGTTGATTAATACAGGCTCAAGCCAATTAAAACTTCGCTTAGTACGCAAAACATCTTGAGTTAAAAGAGGAAAGCTGGGGACGCCCCCGCTACAGAAGCGCCTTTTCCCACTCTTTTCTGTCTTCCTTCTGTCAAAGCTTTCCCCTCCCAGAGGCAAGGGCCTTCCCGGGGGCTGGGACGGCGGCGCCCTTACCAGTCGTCCCTTATCTGACAGGACGCGCACCGACTGCGCCCCGAAATACTTCAGCAAATCCTCTTTCTCCTCAGCAGTCAGCTCGGCTGGCAGGTGCCTCACTAGAAGGGTTCGGTCGCCCCGGGACGGAGAGAGCGAAGCAGAGCTCTGGCATCCTCTTGACATGGGCGGTAGCGGCGGCTCCGGGGCCGCCATTTCCCTCGCAAAACTGCAACACGGAAAGCGACAGAAGAGGCCGCAGGGAAAACGAGCTAATCAACAGAAGCTGAAGATAAAGGAGTATTTTTCCGCCTCGCGCTAAGGATTCTGGAAACAGGGAAATACCGCGATACAGGGTCACTTTCTCGCGAGACTTGCATAAAGGATGCGTGACTTCTCGTAGACCGTTTCTCAGAAAGAGCTAGGTTCCAAGCGAAGGGAAGGCAAAGTGGTTTTAAATTCCAGGTAGCTGCTGAAGGTATTTAAAAAAAAACTTTGCCCTAGAAAAGCGTGAGGGTTTAAAAATCTTGTCAAAAAATGGGGCGCCTGGGTGGCTTAGTCGGTCAAGCGTCCGACTTTCGCTTAGGTCATGATCTCGCGGTTCGTGGGTTCGAGCCCCGCGTCGGGCTCTGTGCTGACTGCCAGCTCAGAGCCTGGAGCCTGTTTCAGTCTGTGACTCCCTCTCTCTCTGACCCTCCCCTGCTCACGCTGTCTCTCTCTCTCTCCTAGAAATAAATAAAACATTTAAAAAAAAATCTGTCAAAAAAGGAATGAGGGGCCCCAGTCGCGTGAAGGGAAAAGAACGTAGACCCAGGGACAGAAAGAGCCGCTGGTGCGCCTGTGCGGGCGAGGAGCGAGTCCGGACGCGGCGCCGGCCTGGGCTGGAGCTGAGATCCCTGGGTTCCTGTTTCCTGGCCAATTGCGAGAGCGTATTGACTGGCTGACTGGCTGGAGCACTGGCTGTGTGCTTGCAGTCTTGGGGTAGTAAAACCTAGAGGTAGCATGCTCTTCCTTTAATTCAGTAAGGGACCCTTAGAACTCAGTTTAAGGAGCAAAAAAACTTCACAAAGAAATGTGTTTTGTTTTCTTAAACCATCGTGCATATAGCAGACTCAGGCTCTGCCCAGTGTTTATTTCACGGAATTGGTGGCCCCTAGGGAGATATACTCTAATAAATATAAAGAAATAATTATATAGATAAAGCGATAGGTCTCCACATATTTACTCCTCATAACAACCCTCAGGGTGTAAACAGTCCTTTCGATTTTATAATTGAGGACCTTGATCTACAGAGGACATTGATGTACAACGAGGGCATTAACTGGTGAATGGCAAAGCTGAGATTCAACCCTGTTAGCGTGACTGGCGTTACCCTTTGATCTACTATCCTGCCTAATGGAGTGAGGGAGAGATCGTCCCAAGAAGTCAATCAGAAATCTCCCTCACTGAGGGCCTTGAGGATTCTAGAGAGAGGTATTCTTTTTGTACAGGTGCTGCTGTTGTCTAGAGGCCTAAGGAACCTCTGCCTGCTCTTTTAATTTCCTATTTAATTAGATAGTAAAGATATAACGGTAAACAATATGTTAAACTTATGCTTTCATGGAGAATTGTTGGAAAAGCAGGGAAGGGACAGATTTTTTAAACATGAAGTCCCTGATGATTATTATCATAAGAAAGCTTGAACATCTAAATTCTATGGTTATATTAAGCGCTATGAGCAATTCAGCAGGCTCTAATTTAGTATTAGTATTTGGTAGTATTTGAGGATTTTGAGTTTTTTCATATAATTTATTGTCTATTACACCCAGTGTTCATCCCAATACGTGCCTTCCTCAATGCCCATCACCCGTTTTCTCCTCACCACCCCCCCCATTCACCCTCAAGTTTGTTCTGTGCATTTAAGAGTCTCTAGTAGTGTGCCTCCCTCCCTCTCTGTTTGTAACTTTTTTTTTTCTGGGAGGGATAGATTTTAATAAAAACTAGAAAAATATGGTGAAACCCAAAAATGTCAGATATGTAGAGCCAGACCTTGATGCTCCAGTATGTTTGTTGGGAGTCTCCATTATCTGGACAGTAATTGGAAACTGATTTTTCTAGTAAGAGTGTGTGTCGGTGTATAATTATTAAATTTTGGATACGAAAATTTCTCTTTGGTTGCTTGTGAAAAATATAGCAGAAGCCAGTAGAAGCTACTGTCGTAGCCCAGGCAAAAGACATTGCTTGAAATAGTTTGGTAACAGTAGATATAAAGAGAAGAAACTAGAATTGAGACATATTTTAGAAGTAGAATTGATAGACTTTTAGATGAAGAAGAGTGATTAAGGATAGTTCTGAGTTTTCAGCTTGAGCCCCAAACTGTTCAGCATATAAGTGGATGATGATGCCATTTACTGAGCATGAGAAGAGGAACTAAAGTGTAGTTAGATTAGGGACAGCATTGAAGAGTGGGAAATGGAAGAATATATATTAAATTTCAGGTACCTATTCAGTAGCCATGTTTCAAGTAAGCAATTAGATGTGTAAATATGGTATTCTAGAGAAATGTCACCCCAGGATGCACATATAGCCTCAACACACAAAATATATATATCCAAGGAATGAGAGAGAGTGTAGGAGATGGGGGCCCAGTATTCATCCATGGAGCATGCCAATGTTGAGAAATGGAGGAGAGGAGGAAGAATAAGATAATAATCCTTTTTCTTTTGGCACTTAACTTCTAGTAGTAAAGATAGACCATAACATGTAGATAAGTAAATAAGTTCCTTTGGAGAGTTATATGTGCGTTGGGGAAAAAAAATAGAGACGGGGTATAGGCATAAAGTGATTGGAGAAGGCATGATAGTTTAAACACTGTCTTTTGCAGGCTTTTGTCTGTGTCTCTTACCATTAGTTAAGTGATTACCATATATAATAGACATATAATATAAATATCTGTTCAAGGAATGAATTCAGGAATGGATTAACTGAATATTTATAACTGCTTCTTATGGTCAAAAATTGCTCCATCAGCCATCAACATAAATTTAATGGTCCTTATATACTATAATAGAGTATCATAACTCATTGTGATACACTCACTTAAATCTGTCTTATCCTTCCTTCTCTTGCCAATAGCTCAGGCAGATTTCATAATTTCTTAGTTACTTTCAATTAATAGTCCCAGTGGTCTAGAAATGTCAACTCTAAATTACATTCAGGCTTCACTTTTTATCTTCTTCTCATATCAGCCTACACCTGAGAGATAGAAGGAGGATATAATTTGTTTTCATCTCTCCCATGTTTGAGTAGAAGTGGTTGTGCTCTGCTCTGAGTTGTACATTTCTCATTTTCTTTTCATGTTATACTGCAGAGGTTCCCAAATTTTTTCAGCTCATGTTGCTTTCATTGTCTCAATAATTTTTCGATAGCACCCCTTGATGCCTCCTTGCTTCCTGTTCCCCCATGACTTTCAAGAGGCACTTGTTCATTATCAAAGCAACAGAAAAAAACAGTCACTCTCTTGCAGTTTGTGAGTCAAGTCCCACATCAGGCTCTGTGCTGACAGCTCACAGTCTGGAGCTTGCTTCAGATTCTGTGTCTCTCTCTTTCTATGCCTCTCCCGCACTCACGCTCTGCCTCTGTCTCTCAGAAATAAACATTAAAAAAAATTCAAGCCAGAGATTCATGTAGTGTCTGGCAGATATTGAGTATTGCTGTTTTACTCAAATATTTAAAATATTCCATTGCAGGGCATCTGGCTGGCTCAGTCTTGATTTAGGGTCATTAGTTCAAACCCTGCATTGTGTGTGGTGATTACTTAAAACAATAAATGGTAAATAAATAAAATTTTAAAATCAAAATAAATTATTCCATACCATTCCTACGAGGTGGCTGGGGTACCTGGGACACCTTAGCACATGGTTTAAGAATTGTGGCTCTAACTTATTCTTGGTTTTGGTTTTCTTCGTTGCAGGGAAGAAGGAGGGAAAGTTAGAGGTTGTGAGTATCTTACTTCATTGATCAAATGTTGGTTCTTTATCTCACTCTGATTCTCTTTGGTTCTATCTATCTGTGGATGGAAGCCTCTGCTAATATGGTTTTTAGGGACTCATATTCATCAATTCTCCCTCTATCACTGAGTACCTTTTGAGATGAGAATAGCTTTCCCCACTCCTTGGCCTTTACTTTGGTTTCTGCATTTACCTGCATTCCTTTCTATTTCCAAACTTCCTATTTTTTCTCATGAAGCCAGAAGCACTGCTGGGGCCTATTTCTGTTACTTCTGGAAGTCTATGAACTAACCTGCGAAAGGACTTTACTCCTTTTTTTCCCAAAATTTTTAAAAATTAAGATAAAATTGACATAGAAAATTATATCAGTTTCAGGTATACAACATAATGATATTGATGTCTGTATACATTACAAAATGATCACCACAATAAGTCTAGTTTATATCATCTTACATAATTGCAAAAACTTTTTTTCTTACGATCAAGAACTTTTGAGATCTACTCTTAGCAACTTTCAAATATGTAATGCAGTATTATTAACTATAGTTACCATGCTGTACATTACATCTCCAGGATTTATTTATTTTATTACTAAAAGTTTATATTTTTTGACATCCTTCACCCATTTTTCCCATCTTCCACCCCACCTATGGCAACCACTCTTTGTATCTCTGAGCTTGATGTTGTTTTGTTTTGTTTTGTTTTAAAGTCCCATATATGTGAGATCAGATGGCATTTTTCTTTGTCTGACTATTTCACTTAGCAAAATGCCCTTGAGATCTATCCATTTTGTCACAAAAGGCAAGATTTCCTTAACTTTTATTTTTGAAAAATATTCATAATATTTCATTATATATCACAAGTTCCTCATCCATTCACTCATTGAGGGATGTGTAGGTTGTTTAGACTATTTTGGCTATTATAAATAATGCTATGGTAAATGTGGGGGTACATATATCTTTTGAGTTAGTTTTCTTCGGATCATTTGGTGGATCTACTTTTAATTTTTTGAGGAGTCCCCATGCTGTTTTCCATAGTGGTTATACCAGTTAATATTTTACATTTCCACCTACAATGCACAGGTATTCCCTTTTTCTCCACATTCTTGCCAACACTTGTTATTATTTCTTCTCCTTCTTCTCCTCCTCCTCCTCCTTCTTCTTTTTCTCCTTCTTCTCCTTCTTCTTCTTCTTCTTCTTCTTCTTCTTCTTCTTTTTGATAATAGCTATTCTAATAGGCATGAGTTGATATTTCATTGTGGTTTTGATTTGCATTTCCCTGAGGATTGGTGATGTTGAACATCCATTTGTGTAT